GTGTGGGGGAATCGGTTCCCCTTGAAGGGAATCGGTTCTAATGTAAAATTTAAATATTTCGACCGTTGTACAAGGGGGGAATCGGTACCCCCTTGGGGGGGATCGGTTCCCTCCGAGCATACTGGAATTCTCGGAACAAAACTGTTTAGGGGGAATCGGTTCCTCCTATGGGGGGAATCGGTTCCCTCCGAGCATTCTGGAAATCTCGGGGCCAAAACCATTTAGGGGGGAATCGGTTCCTCCTATGGGGGGAATCGGTTCCCTCTGAGCAATCTGTAATTTTTGGCTTTGAATTGGTTCGAAATACTTTGTAAGATTATTTTGAAATTGTTTTATGATTAAAACTTAATTTTACACTTAAGTAATGATTAAAAATGATTTTTGAAATATTTGGAGTAATGTTTTGATATTCGAATAGTTATATCAAATATACTTAGAAAATCATTTGAAAATCTTAAAATCCATTTAACTTAATTTGTTATATCGAAATATTAAAATGTTTCAACAATCTGGCTCCTTAACAGGTCATCTAGTCATTATCCTTTCAGTTTCAAAACCAGTATTCATAGTCCCATCCAAAATGGGATCCACTAGTGGCTTCTCTCCATGGATCACTACATTTATCATATCCATTAACTTGGTCATCTGTTCTATGGATTCATCATGAAATCTTCTTGTTTGATCAATCATCTCTCGTTGGGTTTTCAGGAGTTGCTCTTGAATTTTCTCGATCTTACTAACACGCGCTAGTATCTCATTCATCGCTGTCGATCTTCAGACACGCTTCAGGTAATCTTCAATTTGCTTTCAAAGCTTGTTTGTTCCTTTTACGTGAGACATCTCTTGTTAGTTAATGTGGATGAAATGAAAAATCGGAAAAGAAAATAAAAATAATACAGAATATGCAAGAATGCATAATGCATGAAATGTTTGAGGCATTGATCCAAAAAATGTGCCTGTTATTATAAATAGTCCTTATTAGGGACAAAAGTATTACATCTTTAAGAGAAAAAAACATTTTGACGTATAGATCCTGAACAGCTTCGGACTGGTTGATTCATCTACAACCTTTTTCTATCACTGGTCGAATGCCTTGTCGAACTGTTCCAGCTCCTCAGGATAAGTTGTGCAAGTGGTGAGCTGCTTGCCCCAAAAAGTCTCAAATGACTACATCACCGGGTTTCAACCTCTGCTAAGCATGTTCCTTAATGGAAATGCCATTAGAGCCCTTCACCGTGAAGTTCGTTTGCTTGTTTCTTGTCTAGGGTTTCACCATCTTGTTCTCATAGTCATCGAAATGACTCTCCAGGTCGGTAACCTTTTTCTTGTCTTGCCCTTGCAACTTTTGCCATCTCGTTTTGGAAAAATTGACTTTTGATGTGCTTGGTGTAAACCCGGTCCATTCCGAGTCTTTTTTGACCATAACTAGACTTTTGAGCTTTTTATCTCTTGTATTATAACTCATTTGTCAATTAATGCAGATTATTTACGTTTAACGAGCACGTTTTCGGTGGATCATCGCCTATTTTTAATGATGCAAATGATAGAAAAAAAGTTAGTAAAAATAATAAAAGAAATATAAATGATGAAATAAAGGAAGAAAAGTAGAAAGACAAACAAATAACATGGTTAGGGTAAAAATATCCTAAGGTTTGAAATATGGTTTCGGGGTAGGCTCTAATTCTCCATTGTCTCCCGGTTTAGGTTCTAAAAAATAGTACCCGAGTTCTCCTTACTGGTGCCCCATTGGGCTTGCCAGACCCTTAATCCTGAACCCATTACAGGCTCGTGTGGACTAAGTTAAACTCGAGAGGAAACATTCCCTTATGCCCGCAGGGTGAATAAATTCACATGAAGACATAAGGTATATGAATCCCAAAGGCTACTTGCTAGGCCTGCACGGTGAATAAATTCACACGAAGGCGTCGCTTTCACCCCCACTTAAAACGAGTTTGGAGCTCGGGTTTAGAGCCTTAGATGAAAAGTCTTTAAAGGCTGAAATCACTAGAAAACGATTAGTACAACTATTTACTCGAAAATATAATCAAAAGCAAGCAATAAGGATCGAAATGTTACCTTAAAATTTAAACTTACCATTTTCGTTAAAAAGACAACTGAAAATTATCTTAGCTTGACTCACTTACCTGTCCCCAGCGGAGTCGCCAAGCTGTCAGAACCGTCTTTCGGTTGGGCTCGGAATTGAGCTTCGACTTGAATTGATTGGGTTAGGAGTCGCCACCGATCATTTATTTTAAAGAAAATGGGTTGATCAGATACCTTATTTCTTACATGATCTACGTCTTACCAAAGATGTGTCAAATTCGGGAGTCGGTTACAATCAAGGAAGGGTTAGCACCCTTGAACTACCCTTTCGGTACTACGTAATTTCCAGTTGTCTCTAATTAAGAAAATTACAACTTAAATTAAAAGGTAAAATAACAATCCAAAATTACTTACCTTCGATCGATTTGAAAGTGTACCCTTAAAAAGTCAAGAAACGCGTTAGAGGAAAAAAGAAATGAAAGTAAATAAAAGAAAATAGAAGCAAAAAATAAAAAAAATGAGATAAAAAATAAAAAAGTAATAAAATGAATGAAAAAAATAAAAGAAATATAAGTAAAAATAAACAAAGAAAATAAATAAAATACAGAACATAATGATAATATAATAAATAAACAAACAAAAATAAAATACAAATAAAAATAAAGAAAATAAAGAAAAAGTATAAAGGAGACAGAAAATAAGTATAGATAAAGAAGAAAAATATAAAACTACAGAAAAAAAGAAAATAAATAAATAAAAAATAATGATGAAAAACTAAAAACTAAAATAAAAACATATAATTATTAAGTAAAAATAATAATAATGATAATAAATAGTAAAACAAAAAAGACAATCACACCGAAAAGGAAAAAAAAAAGAAAGTCAAGATTTGGTGAAGTATAAATGACGGGAAGAAAAAAATGATGAGGGGTGGGGTCCTAGCTAATAAATTAGTGTGATGTATACTTATAATATAGTAAAAATAAATAAACATAAACATTATGATAAAATATATATAATAACTATAATAATGGAAAAAAATGAAAAATAATTTAATAAAGTAAAACCTTAATAATAAAGTATAATATAAATAAATGGAAACCAAAAATAAAGAAGTATAGAAAATAAATATAAAAATATAATTAAATATATATATATATGTTAATAGTAAAAAAAGAAAAAAAAGAATATACATATAATGATAATAATAGTAACAAAAGAGAAAAATAAAAATATATTTATATACATTAATAGTAAAATAATAATAATTATAATAATAATAATAATAGTTAGAATATATATATATATATATATAATAACTTATAAACAAGGTGTAAAAAAATAATAAGTGTTAAAATAAAATAATAATAATAATAATAAAATAAAAAGGATTAAATCGAAAGAATATAAAATTAGGGGCTAAATTTAATAGGAAATTGGACTTTTGAATTGATTTAAGGGTCTGAAATGCACAGTTCAAAAGCCAGGGGGACCGAAGTGGATATTTCCCCACTTTTATTTGAAAACACGCGGGTCTGAGGGTTAAGGCGGGTCGGGTCACGGTCCAAATGGGTCAGCTATAAAGGCCACATTTTTTCACTAAACTCTCATTTCTCTCATTTTCAGAACAAAGGCCCCCTGTTTCGATTCTCTCATATGTTCATCAATAAGATGAACACCATCGTGGGTTGCAACAAACCCAGAAAACCGACCACCGTAACCACCTCGTCGGCCGCCGTTCATCGGCGGAAAACCTAAAAAAAATTCGATTTTTTAAAAGCTCTTTTCACCCACAATCTAAAAATCCAAACATTTTTTCAAAACTAGCCTCGTGAGGGTGTAGATCTAGAAAAGAAGATCCGAACACCACCCTTTCCGGTCATCAGTGCAACCCATTTTTGGGCTATTCGGGGTCAAAAGAAAAACGAGAATCGAAAAAGCATGCAACAATAGCAACCAAACAATGGTAAAAGGCAATACCTTTCTCTTTATTTCTCTTTCGAAAGCTTTACAAAGACTCGTATTTCCTTGTCTATTTCGTGGTATTTTTTGTGCTTGATCTCGTGTAATATTCGTGTAAACTCTCTGTGTACTTGTTTTTTCTTCCCCCTTTTGTGTGTTGTTACATCCACTATTTATAATAATGAAAAAAAAACTAATTTTAACCTACAAGAATCCTAATAGGACTGAACTTGTTGTTGCTTGTTGATTTTATGGGTTGTTACCGAGGAAATCGGCCGGTTGCGTGGAGCGACACATGCGGCGTGAGACTCGACGTGGAGGAGTCTTCGGGGGCTTTCTACGGCCCTGGTGAGGCTTGGAGAGATTAGGGTTTCCAAACATACCCTAACTTACAACGGGTCGTGTATGTTGGTCTTGGGTTACCTGCGTGCGGGCTTGCTGTACTGGGCCACTTGAGTTGTAAATGGGTTGGGTGTATTTCTATTTATGACGGGCCTGTATACAAACATAAAAGGATAAAATATAAGTATTTATATTATATAATATAGTTAGTAAATATTTTATAATATAACGACATTATTTAAAATGGATGAAATTTGATGTCTTCAGATAGTATATGTGTTCGACATTGTGGTTTGAGTGCTGTTGGGATTTTTAGTTTTCAATGTGAAGAATGGGTTAAAAATATGCCAATGAGGCCTTGGTTCATATGTGTGGGTTCTCGTCCCGCCGCATTGTGTGCCTTATTGTTCGATTATTCTGGCTCGGGTCATGGATTATAATTGTGCATGGACGTGTATCCACCTCAAAAGGGAAAAAAAGGTTGCAAATATGGCTTCTTGGGTAAAATATCTAATGTCATGTGTAAACTTCCCGTTTGTAATGATGTTACCTAGTTCATCAATATTAAAGGTCAATTTCTGATTCAGTTGAAAGAAGTAGAGGGTGATTTTGACTCCTATCTTTACAAAGTTCTAATCGAATGCACCGCTTATGTTACTCTTTTTAACATGCTTGGGCAAATAGCCTTGTATCCATTGTTTTTAATTCTTACAATGTCTTATATGACATTGTAATTATAATTCCCTATCATTGAAGTTTGTTATTGCATGTATAATTTTAGAACTTTATTTCTTCGTCAGCAGGAAGCGGCTTGATTCATCTCTTCAAGATTTGGAAGAGAAACAACACAACAAGCGAGAAGTAGTGGGTGTTCTTCCTTTTTACGTGCCCTAATCGTGCTCTTTGGTGCTATATAAGTTGTTTCCGACATTCTATATGATGTTAAGCAACAATAGTGCTGAATGTTTCCGGCATTGCAAGTTAATGCTGAAGAATTCGGTGAGGTGGCAAGAGGAAGATGATAGCCACTTAGTCTGTATTGGAAACATAACAAAAGGCGACTTTTTGTCAGGCATGGATGAGGAACAGAGAAACATAGGGGAGGAAATAATATTGGGTCAAAGGGTTAATGCTCTTGGTTCTGGGGAAATTCAAAAGCAATGCGCACTGGTGGAGGTACACGAGGGGGAGGTGGCACAAGACGACAACAAGATACTAATTCAGGCGGTGGGAGCAAAAGATGGAAGAAATGATATTTTAAAGGAATTTCCTCTATGGGAAGGGAGCTTAGGATCAAAGGCGGTGGAAGATACGGATTTTATGGGGAAATTCAAAAGCAATGCGCACTGGTGGAGGTACACGAGGGGGAGGTGGCACAAGACGACAACAAGATACTAATTCAGGCGGTGGGAGCAAAAGATGGAAGAAATGATATTTTAAAGGAATTTCCTCTATGGGAAGGGAGCTTAGGATCAAAGGCGGTGGAAGATACGGATTTTATGGGCCTTACAAACAGCTTACCTAAAAACGGATCCAATGGTTTAGAGAACCAATTGGAAGGGAGCTTGGTAGAACCGAATGAAAGCAAGCCCATTTTGGGGCGAGAGGGGAAAGAACGGGATCAGGGGCTCTGTATACTTACAAAGTCGAATGATGATTTATTAATGTCCAGTCTAGATCGTTAGAGTTAATGAGGGGAACAAAAAGAAATATAGTTCCCTTCAAAAAAATTCAAGAAAAATACGGTGTTACTCAGAGAAAAAAAAGAAATTGTCGCGTGAAGAAAAACCATAAGAAGGTGCAAATAGAGGAAGAATTGACTGAACTTGAAAGAAGGTCCCTGTCTGATTCAGATCTTCAAGAACGATGGCAGAGACAAAGGCTGGAAGCGAAGAAAACGTTACATATTGGCGGAGAGCTGGGTATTCAGTTTATAGGTTCAGAGGAGGTTTTAATTAGGGAAATTTTAGCTGCGGATGATCTTGATGGAGAGTCCCAATCCATTGAGTTCTAGTTGTAATCAGAGGGGAGGAGCCCAGATGCGGATTTTGTCTTGGAATACTAGAGGTGGTGGCATATTCCAGGATTCAACTTGCAGACAGTAGATGAAGTTTTTGAGTTTCTGTTATAAGTTTAGATGGTCAGAATCTATAGCTTTGGTTTGGTTTGTTAGCTTTGCAGCGGCGTTATGGAGTCTATGGTTGGCCAGGAACGATCTTGTTTTCAGGAGCAAAGGCGTTAAAATGAAAGACCTGCTTGTTTTTGTGAAGATGAGAGCCTATGCTTGGTGAAAGGCGTTGAAGGTATTCAGTGCTTTAGATGAGAATTTCTGGTGGGACTGGCCTAGGGAGTCAGCTGACTCAATAGCACATCAATGTCCCAAGTCCGCCTGGCAGCCACCTGCTTCGGGTCAATTGAAGTTTAATGTGGATGGTTCAGCAACGAATAAGATGGCAGGTTGTGGGGGAGTATTGAGGACATCAGACGGATATGTTGTTGCAATGTTCTTTGGGCCGGGTACAGAGGTAAATTCTGATTATGCGGAGCTCCTTGCAATTAAAATTGCATTAGACGTGTACATTGATTCCTGCTGGTGTTGTAAGGCTGCATTGATTGTTGAATCTGATTCTAAAGTGCTGAATTGAATTCAAAATGCCTATTCTCGACCATGGAGGTGGGGAGTAATTTTTCAGGAAATTGATGTTAATGCACTAAAGATAAGCGAGATTAGGTTTGTGTTCTCACCTAGGACTACCAATAATATGGCAGATTACTTGGCAAAGATGGGATCGACGAGAAAAGTCTTGTTCAAGGCAAGCTGGTGATATGATAGCAAGGAACTTATCTTAGCAGTGTTATTTGCTTACTTGGTTCGGGTGTTTTTTTATTGGTACGGAGGTTATTAGAGATGTACTCCTTATAGATGGTTCTATGATGGTCTATTGTGGAGTCTGCTTTCTTTCTTTTGTTAGGGAGGGGTTGGTATCGGTATAAGGGTGAGCATGCTCTAGCATTTGGTGAATTGTTGTCGATTCTGTGGGTACCTGAGCGATCACTAGTTGTCCCTTGGCCGGTTAAGCTAAGCTGGCGCGATTTGCACCATATTTTAGTGGTTCGAATTATCTTGACTCCCAGGTCCTTAGAGCTTTTCATATTGTTCGTAATGATTAGATATTAGCCACAAATTAGGCTTGATCTTTGTTCGGATATGTTGTGTTTTTATCGATTGGGTTTGTTGTGGAGGGGCCAGTGCCGCTTTGATGTTTTCGTTTTGTTAACGTATGTGGTCTTGTACTGCATACCTTGTTAAGAGTACTCTTTTCCTCCATCTAAATTTAGGGAGGTTTTTAACGAGACTCTTAATTAGGTTTGTTTTATTAATAAAATTTATATTGCCGAGAAAAAAAAATGCTCTCATTTCTCATTAAACAATCGAATAACTTTTAGATAATCATTAGGAATATTGCTCTATTTATGACACACAAATCGGTTTTTAAAATCGAACTAAGTTAGAAAAGATTGGAGTCGTCATCGACTTTAGGCCGAATACCCAGAAAACGTCTTAAAAACAAATTTTAGAAAAATCATTTAAAGATGAAAACTGGTATACGTTTAATCAGAGATTCATTTTTAAGGATTCGGGAATCGGTTACGCGTGAAGAAGGGTAAGCACTCCCACAACGTCCAAGATTGGTACCTCTCTATTATATGTTGTCGGAAAAAATGAAATTTTACAAATTTGAACTCTAAATTTAAATTACGATCCTTTTCATTTTTAGACTGAGTGAATTCATTTTAAAATATTTGACTCGATGAAAGATTTAATTCACTCTATTTTATTTAAAAAGGATGTCCTCTTACTACGTGAATTAATTAAAATTGAAATTCAGTCATGTTTGACTTAATTTTGTTAACCCACGATGCGAGATAATATTGACTTTAATCGTTTTAGAAAACAAGAAATCTTATACATGACCCATGAATACAATAATATATGACATATACAAGGTGGATGAAATAAAACATTAACAAAATAAAATAATAAAACTAAACAAGGATGAACAAATTATTATACAATAACAAATAAACAGAAACCTAAAATAAGTGAAAAGGAAACATTTATACTTGATAAGGTAATTATGTAAAATAACACATATAATATATCTACCAATTATTAAAAAAATTAAAATGAATAGAAATATATAAATAATAACATTAAAAACATTTTAATTGAATAGCCCTCGAAAGGGCACCCCAAGTGTTTGGGGGTCTTCCATAGATTAGTCGAATAATTAACAAACTTTAAAGCTATTAAAGCATTAAACAAACATTTATATTTAAAAATACATAAATAATAAAATAAATGTTATCTTTAATAATATATATATGATGATCATCATAAAAACCAAATTTGGTGGTATACAAGTGCATGTGTAGATAAAAAGGCATCATTAACAAAAATATAATTTTATGTAAGATTATATATTATATATTTACATAGAGATATGAGATAAATATGTATATAATAATAATAGTATAAAAATGAACAAATAACATATACAATGGCCAACTAGGTGATTATACATTTTAGTTTCGGGCTAATTTGAAAGAAATTAAAGTTACAAGGTCTAAACATGCAAATAGTTGATAAAATTATAAAAGGGGACTAAAATGTGACATGCATAAAACTTGGAGGCTAGGAAAGTAAATAACCCCTAACAAATCATATTAATTGGATCAGTGACGGAAATATAAGCATGACAACATCAAAGGACTAAAAAAACATAACCCATATGTTTCATGACCAAAACAATAAATTACGAACGAAAAAGGACTGAAAGAGTAGTTACCCCAAAAATCCAAAATGCATGATTCCTAGAGGGCAAAACGACTATTTAAAACGAGTATAAATGTCCCATTTTAGCCCTTCTTTTACATTCTTCTCTCATTCTTTTTTTAGAGAGAGAAGCTCTATATTCTCTTTAAATTGTGGTCGTCTTCCGGTTGTCTCGATCACTGCCGGCCGCAGCGCCACTGTTGTCTCTGGTGGTCACGGATCTGAGATTTGTTTTCACACAAAACGGCCTCCAACGCCATGAAATAAGCCGTAAAATTTTCAGATTCAACCTCGTCGATCTGTCTTCTCTACTGTTGGATCAGGCCGAGGTTGGAGTATGTGACTCCTCGGGGCACGATGAACCTCCTCATTGTTCCTCTTTTTCTGTTTTTTTTTCGTGACCCCCTTTTTTCGAATGTCCACTTGTTATATAAAATGGTGACTTGGTCTGATGGATTTGATAGGGTTGCTAGCAGGGTGGGTGAGGATTGTAGGAGGGTTCGGTTGGTAGTTTGGTTGGGTAGGTTTGATTTGTTAGATTTGATTTTAATTTTTTTTATGATTGATTGATTTCTTTTTCTTTTATTTTTTGGTAAAACAGGAGGTTCAGTCAAGTTGAGGTGACTGGCGGCGTGGCTTCTCGACTCTGTGACAACGTTGGCAGGAAAGGGGCTTAAGGTTAGGGTTAGCTAGGTTAAGTTTTAGATTGGACATGTAATTTAGTTTGGACACGGGGATGTGATCCTGCCGACCACCAAGTTCAAACAAAAATGCTCACAACTTTGAAGTTCTTCCAAGATGATTCTAAGGGTGTTCTTCCTTATTTTATTACTTATTTACTCATTTATTCTTTATATTTGTTATAAGCATGCTTTGACATTCTAAACTATGCTTGAATATTCATATATTGTCCTATGTTTGCACCCTATATGATATTCATGCATGTCTCATCTTTAATTAGCTTATTTCATGCATATGTTACACATTCCTTACTTATGTTATTATATCAATTGCATTATTATATTGGCCATGGAATCATGTGTTACATTATAATGTTACTTATTACTTATTCATTACCTTGAGCATTGTAACTTATATACATTTTGTATTTAGTGCAAGGTACATTCAAGGCAATCCACTGTCAGTCAGATTGATCGCCACTTTTGAACATGTTACAAGCATCTTTGGGTGATGAAGTCTTCTTAACATTTAATCCCCTATATCTTAGCTTTCCAACGCACTTTGAACCGTATCAATCCGATATTGGGAGCTCAAGATATGCCCAGATTACTGAAGACAGTGCAGGCTGGAAATAAATACGGGATTTGCAACCATTCATCTCCTTCAAAGGATTTATGCATGAGAGGCATTAATGGAGACATGCATGGACGAGAAAATAATATTAAAATGAATCAGAACATTTTTGAGAAGGTGCAAGGTTTCATTCAAAGGCTTTTAAGTTCATCCATTCATACATATTCATGCAAGAAGCCAAATAGTCATGTTCACACAAAGGGGGGAAGAATTTCAGCCAAGATACACTCATGAACATTCATCCATAGAAGACAAATCAACATGTTCACACATGGGAGGAAGGATTCAGCCATGAAGATACATTAATGAAGATTTATTCATTTAATTCATCATACATTCACCATTGACCGTACATTGTATTTCCCTAAGGGATGAACATTCATCAATGAATGTTCAATCATTAACTTCTATGTGCATCCTAGACATACTTAGGCCTATAAATAGTTAGCTTTCATTTTGTAATGAAGCAACTTTGTTTAATCAAAACTTGTGAGATTTTCTCTCTTTCTCGTTCTTTAAGAACTATATCAACTTATCAAGTGCTCTTGTGCTTGTGGCGTCGCCTATCTTCTATCCACTCTGCTACTTTTGGTTCTTTTGGTTTAATATACCTAAAAGGGTCAAAGTCCTTAAACACCATCCCTCAAGTTTCTATAAGGTCTAGGGTTAAGCTTTAATATAGCTTAGTTTGATTCCTTTGTTTCTTGAGACACTATCTTCATTCTTCACTACCATTTTCATACTTCTTTCTTCCATCACCATAACATTGTTCCATATACAAATACTTCTTTAAATCCTTTCAAACATATCATCATCTTCATCTATTCTGTTGTCATTTCTATCTTACCATCTTACTCATTCATATTTAACCGTTTTCTTTAAAGCCTTCTTATTTCAGGAACACTTGTTGTCTTCCTATCACCAAGTGGAGTAGGGCGTGCTTGTATCACACGGGTTATTGGGTTGTTTGTAAATGAGGTTTGTATTGTGCTTGGGGTATTTGGCCGGTTCTAGTTTTGGATTTGTAATAATAATAATAATAATATATAACACAAAAAAATGGTGATTACAACAATTGACTCTGATCATTTGTTTTGCATCCTCTAGATATTAAAGGTGCAGCAGAGGATTCAATCTCATCAAGCTGGAAAAGCCAAGACTTAGCTCCTCTTCATATATTTCTCCGAATGACCGGTATCATTCGAGTCGAATATCATTTAATGCTGCATTCTGCAGTTGTACATCATAATCGGAGCTTTAATCCGGTGTTCTCGATCCATGGCGTTGTAAAAGCTACAGTCTGTGCTAGCCTCTTTAACCATGATAGTTAACGATACGACATGGTAAGTTTTTCGAAGCACTCTCAGCTTTTTCTTTTCTACTGCCCTTTTTCGGTGAGACTGATGATTGATTGCTACTTAAATACTGGAGTTTGATTGCTTTTGAAGTCTTTTATGATTCATGTCATTGCATATGAGAATGGTTTGGTTAATAATGTTCCTTCTTTCTTTTCCAGCACCAAATTTTGTGATATGGTTAATAGTACTAAGAACCTAAAAATAATCCAGCAGGAACTTATGGGCCTTATGAAGTAAGAAACCCATTTTCTTTCTTTTCCAGTACCAAATTTTGTGATATGGTTAATAGTACTAAGGATCTAAAAATAATCCAGCAGGAACTTATGGACCTTTTGAAGTAAGAAACCCATTTTTAGTACAAAATATTAAGCCTTATTAACTTGAAAGCCCGAGATGTGTGTTTTTCTTAAATCATCCTCTATGTCCCATTGCCAAAAATAGAGTCTAGAAAATAATGTTTTTTTTTATTAAGCTGTGATTAAAACTCAATTGAACTTAGAAAATAAAATGGTTTTTAAGGGTAAATTATGCGTTTAATAACTAAACTATCAGTTTTGACTCGTTTTAGTATCTAAACTTTCAATTTTTTTAAAATATATTTAACTTTTATTTCTTGTTTCATTTTAGTATCTCGCTGTTAAAAACTTAAAGGGTGATTGGTGTGTGGCTCCTTTTAATAGGTAAATTGCATCATTCATCCCTCAACTATTTTTTTACTCCTATTTGGGTTACTAAAGTTTAATTTTTTAATTTAATTACTTAAATTTCAAATTACTCATAATTTAATCACTCTAAATTTAATTTTTTTTATTTTAATTTTAATTATATATTAAAAAATAATAAAACTGTCATGTCATAAAAAACATTAATAAAATAAATTAGAGTGATTAAAATAGAAATAATTTGAAAGTTGAGTAGTTAGATTGAAATTTTTTAACCTTTAGTACCAAAATAAGAGTGAGAAGATAGTTGAATGATGTAATTTACCTATAAAAAAATGCAGCGTCGTTAAGTTTTTAACGACAAGGCGAGGTACTAAAATGAAATAAAAACTAAACGTTAGATATGATTTTGAAAAAAATTAAAAGTTTAGATACTCAGCGCATAACTTACCCCTTTTTTTAATTTTGAGTCACTTGAATCCATTTAAATTTTTTGTTCAGATGTTGAGCTTTAATCAAGTTTCAAATTTGAATGTTCAAATGAAAAAAAACTTCAAAAATTAAAACTGTCATTTTTGGTCTTTCAACTTTAGTTGAATAGTTTGATTGTTTTGTAATTCAGTCTCTTATGTCTTCAATTTCTATTACAATTTAGGTCTATTTCAATCAAATTGAATCATGTGCTCTTCAACAATGTATAACTTTAATTTATTTAGACGAACTGTAGCTTTCTGTGTGATGTGGCTATCTGCTTGGTGAAGGCAACAAACGGATTCGGCCCTCCATCGGGTCCATTGAACCGTCAATCCCATGATGTTAACATCAAATGTTTTGGAACGCATTATTTTTTATGCACCCCACATGTTTGATAAATTGTCACACTGAAGTTTCGTAAGATTTGGAATCCTATATGGGCGTAAACGTTTAAAGGCATACGGGTGGAAATCGGGTGGGAAAAAACCGAAAACCATGGTGATCCGAACTGACGGGATGGAGAATAACCGAAATTTTCACCCAAGAGAATGGGGATAAGGGGAGTTTTATTCCCGAAGTTCAAATGTGGATGAGGATAAGGATTGCTATATCCGAATTGTGAGGATAACCGAATCATACTCGTGTGAATAACCATGAGATTCCCGAAAAATAACCGTAAGAATCCTCGATATTTTACAAAAATAACCGTGGGAATCCCCAAAAATATATATGAGATTACGTGTTATCACTGTTATATCTCAAAGGAATTAAAATTGAAGTTTAGATCTTTTCTCATTTAATATATATTGATTTGTTGAGATCGAAATGGTTAAGATTGTACATATACATTAGGTGTTAGATGAATATTGACGTTTGAAACTTTCATATTATAGATAGAGACCAATTTAAGATAATATAATATATTTTATATGTTTTAAGTGTTGCGTTAATTTCAAAAATGTTTAGTTTATTTGTTGGGATGGAGATTAACCGAAACTCACATAGATCCGTAAGTGATGGGTATGTGGAGAAAAAATCTCCGAAACATATAATGAAGATTTCTCAAAATCGTACCCGCAAGTGTTGTAGACAGAATAAATAATGCAAAACTCTCCCCGTCCCGCCAAGTTGTCACCCCTATAAAGGCAGGTAAAAAGTTCGAAAGATACCGAATTCTATCTGGTCTCCAATCGTACATGTGGCACTCTACACGAATGAAAATGATTCACTTGGACATACACAGCAGCCACAAAAATCAAACAGAATAATGAAAATGAAAAGTAATCCACCATAGACAGCATTAGGTAAAACAAGCTTTCAGGGCTTAACATTAAGCGCATTGGTTCCAAGCAATTGAGGTTCAGGAATTCTATCTGGTCTCCAATCGTACATGTGGCACTCTACACGAATGAAAATGATTCACTTGGACATACACAGCAGCCACAAAAATCAAACAGAATAATGAAAATGAAAAGTAATCCACCATAGACAGCATTAGGTAAACAAGCTTTCAGGGCTTAACATTAAGCGCATTGGTTCCAAGCAATTGAGGTTCAGCCATGGATGGATATGATATTAGCCTAAGAGTCCTTTGACATCAGCCTCCTCCATTGTTGGGGCTAACAAGCACTTATATCACAAGTGATCCTTGATATTTTTATGACCCAGTTTCTTATTCTATATGGCAATTGATGCACATCACAAATCACCTTTATAATTTTTCAAGGGAATTGCTGCCACTCAAGTTTAATTGAAGGGACACCATCATGCCCCATTCACCCACAATAGAAATTTTCATTAACTCTTCATTTTAGAACCTTGGTATTTAAACTTTAATATTCTATTTCATTTCTCAAACTATTGATCTTATATTAATCTAGCTAGCTCTTTTGTTAGTCTAACCATCAATTGGAACATATTATTCACAAGTAGATTATTTTTAGTTATATCACCTATTTTATTAGCATGTCATATTCAAGGTGATTTTGTCGATATAATCAGAATTGTGTAACGAATAGCTTACCAGATAATTTGGTTCGCTCACAACTCCTTTATCACTTTGTAAAGTGTCTTGTTTGACAGAAATAAGGACTTTTTACGAAGGTTATCGGTTCGTTTGATGTTGATTATCATTCTTAAGAGAATGCTCTGTTTTTCTTCATATCTTCGGGTTTAGTATTTTTAATTTTTATGTTTATGTAAGTATTTTTGGTGATAATTGTTCCTATTTTTCTCTCTACACTTGGTTGCATTATATTTTCGATCCGTCTATCATTTGTATTGATGAAATTCAAACAAAGAAAAGAAAAATTAGATCCCCGATTATAAATATACTTCAAAAAAGATCCAAACTAATATTTAATGTACAAGCTGTCGGTTAGACATAGAAACTTTCACAAGTGAAGGAATGCTTGACTGGTGAAAAAGGGTAGTAATATCAATACCTATTAATTGGAAAGACTTTGCGTTAGTATTTTAATTCAAAAGGAATGAGTGAATTCTTTCACTAATATTATTAATATTATTATTATTTAATTGGATTAATATAATCCATAGATTGAATGCATATTAATCTAAATTTAGGTGATTGAAGTAGGGATTGGCATGAGATCCGAACCTGACCCAAACCCGACTCATGTCCATCCCTAGATCGAAGGGAGACAATCATGAAAATAATGAAACGAGGTTGAAGAAGCAAAGGGGAAACATTTAATTCAAGCTGCCTGCCTCAATCATATTTCCATGACCAAGAAAAAGCGAACATAGTCATCGCAATTGTCTTAATTTCTCTCTCTACTCTTATTTACTAAGCAAACATAGTGTCATTGCAATCATGAAACTTGGGGTCGGACTGTTTGGAGTCAGGTTTAAATGAAATGTATTCGTATGTTTATATATTTATAAAATATATTCATTTTAATTAAAAAACTTTTAAATCAGGATAAATTGCGTCGAATCAAATTGAATTGTGCTTTTATTATATTAGATTAAGATTATTTTACATTAAATTATATTTAAATTAAATTAAATCGATTCGATAAAATTTTTAAATTTTGAATCGAAATCAAAGTCTCAAAAATTGACTTGACTACCATGTTGTCATCCCTATCACGGTTCAACCAACTCTTTAGATAAAACTTTAATTTTAGTCATAATTTTTCAACTACACTCATAGTTTTTGGAAATCTTGTTTGTCCCCGCTTTTCTCTCGAAATGGCTCAACCACGGAAGTCATTATGTGAGTGGTTTGTTCCTCAAATAACATATTAAAATTATTTGTATCTTTTAAGTTAAAAGAGGTGGATAATTTGTTTTATTTAAGTGAAATTATGTGTAGTTTTTCAAAACTAAATAATTGTTTAATAATCGGGTAAAGAAAACGAAAAAACACAAGAATTTTAACGAGGTTCAGCAATGTACTTACGTCCTCGGTGCCCTAGGTGGCGCTAGAATTTTTATTCTATATCTCATAGGTTTTGGTTACATTTCCTTTTATAATAAATAAACTATGGTACATATTTACAAAAATAACCTTGTACCGTACGCAACCCCCGCACCCCCAACCTACATAATCGTAACCCCCACTACGAGACTTTCTTTGTAAGGACAGATGACATCCGCTCGACATTAGTTAAATCATTGTTTAAAATGATACCACTTTTTTTTAAGGATTAAGATGATATCACTTTATCTTAATTACAAGAGATTTATTATAGTAAAAAATGAAATGACCATCCAGCTCAGTTGGTAGAGCACAAGGTTCTTAACCTTGAGGTCGTGGGATCGAGTCCCACGGAGGGCATTTCATAATTCGGAGGTCTCTTACGGAAGCTGCTCTCAACCTGGTGTTGGGGGTAGCCTACTATCTTACCTGCCCCTTATCCCATACATATGGGAAAAAGGGACAGCCATTATTATAGTAAAAAACTAAATTTAGGAGGAGCCAA